GGTGGTGGAGGCCCCATCCCTGGAAACATTCAAGACCAGGTTGGACGGGGCTCTGAGCAGCCTGATCTAGTTAGCGGTGTCCCTGCTCCTGCAGGGGGGTTGGACTAGATGACCTCTAGGGGTCCCTTCCAACCCAAAACATTCTATGATTCTATGATTATAGCGGAGGTCTGCTACAGGCCACCTGACCAGAAAGACCAAGAGGATGAGGCTCGCTACAGATAGGAGCAGCCTCACATTCACAAGCCCTGGTCCTTATGTGGGACTTCAACCACCCTGATATCTGGTGGAGGGACAACACAGCAGGGCAGAAGCAATCCAGGAAGCTCCTGGAATGCATTCACGATAACTTCTTTCTCCAAGTGATAGAGGAGCCAACGAGTAGAGGTGCTATGCTGGACTTTGTTCTCGCCAACAAGGAAGGGCTCGTGGCAAATATGAAGTTCAAGGGCAGCCTTGGCTGCAATGACCACAAAATGGTGGAGTTCAAGATCCTTAGGGCACTGAGGAGGGCACACAGCATGCTCAATACCCTGGACTTCAAGAGAGCAGACTTTGGCCTCTTCAGGGATCAGCTTGGTGGACTACCATAGGATAAAGCCTTAGGGAGAAGAGAGGCCCAAGAAGGCTGGTAAATATCCAAGGATCACCCCCTCCAAGCTCAGGAGTGATGCATCCAACAAAGAGGAAGTCAGGCAAAAATGCCAGGAGGCCTGCACGGATGAACAAGGAGCTCCTGGACAAACTCAAAACCAAAAAGGAAGCCTATAGAGGGTGGAAGCAAGGACAGGTAGCTTGGGAGGAATGCAGAGAAATTGTCCAAGCAGCCAGGGATCACGTTAGGAAAGCTAAAGCCCAGGGACATCAAGGGCAACAAGGAAAGCTTTTATAGGTAGGTTGGTGATAAAAGGAAGTCTAGGGAAGGAAACAGGAGGTCTGGTTACCCAGGGTATGGAAAAGGCTGAGGTACTCAACAACTTTTTTACCTCAGTCTTCACCAGAAAGTGCTCAAGCCACAGCACCCAAGTCGCAAAAGGCAAAGGCAAAAGGGACTGGTAGAATGAAGAACCGCCCACTATAGAAGATCAGGTTCAAGACTGTTAAGGAACCTGAAGGTGTACAAGTCCATGGGACCTGATGAGATGCATCCGTGGGTCCTGAGGGAACTGGCAGATGTAGTTGCTAAGCCACTATCCATCGTATCTGAGAAGTCATGGCAGTCCGGTGAAGTTCCCACTGACTGGAAAAGGGAAAACTTAACCCCCATTTTTAAAAAGGGAAAAAAGGAAGACCCAGGGAACTACAGGCCAGTCAGTCTCACCTCTGTGCCTGGCAATATCATGGAGCAGATCCTCCTGGAAACTATGCTAAGGCAGATGGAAAATAAGGAGGTGACCCGTAACAGCCAACATAGCTTCACTAAGGGCAAATCACGCCTGACAAATTTGGTGGCTTTCTGCAACAGGGTTACAGCATTGGTGGATAAGAGAAAAGCAACTGACATCATCTACCTGGACTTGTGCAAAGCATTTGACATTGTCCCACACAACATCCTTGTCTCTAAATTGGAGAGACATGGATTTGGCGGATGGACCACTTGGTGGATAAGGAATTGGATGGAAGGTTGCACTAAGAGTTGTGATCAACGGCTCAATGTCCAAGTGAAGACCAGGGACAAATGTCATTCCTCAGGGGTCAGTATTGGGACCAGTGCTGTTTAACATCTTTGTCAGCAGTATGGACAGTGGGATTGAGGGCACCCTCCACAAGTTTCCCAATAACACCAAGCTGTGCGGTGTGGTTGACACACTGAAGAGGAGGGATGCCATCCAGAGGGACCTTGACAGGCTTGAGAGGTGGGCCCATGCAAACCTCATGAGGTTTAACAAGGCCAAGTGCAAGGTCCTGCACGTGGGTCGGGGCAATCCCAAGCACAAATGTAGGCTGGGCAGAGGTGCAAATCCGGTCTCTAGCTGGGGAATGCAGAATGGAAGGCTCAGCTACTGCCTGAGATTAAGCTATGACAACAATTTTTAACCAGCTCATGAGAACTGTATTATATTCAAATGCATGACATTTTGAAAGTGTAGCTTTCAAAAAGGTGCTGGTGGCATCTGCACAAAGACTGTTACTATAGCTCAGCTGACAAGGAATATATTAATGCCAAAAAAAACAGTGTGAAATATCTTTCAGAAAAACACATGCTGAATTTTGCAAACCAGTAGCTGCAGAGGTGATGAGTCATTTTCATAATTCTGGTCCTTCTTCAGACCCTTTTTTCTACAGGTATTCAGTTTTTATGCAAAAAAGCTATGGAGGTTTGTAAGGGCCAATAGAAAGACAGGAACATTTCGTCTACCTTAGCCTTAACAGATTAAAGCTCTAAAGTGGGAACAGGGCTATAAGTCACCAGTAAGAAAGACTTATCCACATGCCCACAAAAGAAAGAAGTGACACATATATGGATAGCACTTAAAGCATTTTAGAAGAAAAGCTATCATGCAAGGGACCAACTGCAAAGGAAGGATGAAAAACAGATACGAGGAAGCAAAATGGTGCCCAAAACAGAGGGAGAATGCATGCAAAAGAAAACCAAAACAGAAGGAAGATGATGTATTTGGTATTTAGAAACTTTAAAAACAAAGCATATTTAACTAGGGTTTTTTGACCTATGCCTGAACTGTTACAGTTTGGCAGGGTGTTAAACACAATGAGTTCAACAATTCCTTTCTTCCCAGTGGTAAAACAGGTCTGGTCAAGGTTAAGCTACTTACTGCTGCTTTCTTTTCACAAAAGGCCTTCAAAGCTTCTGTGAGTCCCTGTGTAATATGAACAACAAGTGTTGCTTCTGAGTCTGAGGTGATATGAAAAGTCTCCTGTTGAAAAACACAGTTAGAATCGGTCGTTAGGATGCTGAAGGGTCATAAACACAAACATATCAAAATTATACTTTGATTTTGGTATACCCAAGTTCATACTATTAGTCGATATAAGACATATATAACATACGTATAGACACACACGTATGAAAAAATAAAATTGTGAACAGAATTATGGCCTGATGGGAGGTAAAACATAACCCTGGATGTCTGTGCCACTCCCATACTGTCAATCATGAACATTTCACTGCAGATGGAGACGGGCCCAAGTCCTAAATTTATGTTGTCTGTGTAGAAAATTGAATGAAAAGTAAGCTTCAGCACTATCAAATGCCTTTGATTCCCCCACTTTAGTAAAAAAAAAATGAAAATTTCCATTGTAATTTTCCTATGTGTAATTTTGGCAATAAAAGATACCAAAAGAGACTGATACAATTCTATAAAGCACAGAGCAATAATGGCTATCTGTCTTTTATAGGTCCAAAGAGACTGATTAGTAAGCGTATGAAATTATAAGCGATTACAGGAAGTTAAAAGAATATAGGCAGTCTGCCATAAGGAATAGCCGTGATTCCTGTAGATAAAAATCAATTAACTGTCTACCAAGCAGTTTTGGTAGTTTATGGATTATCCCCAGACTTGCTTTTTGTCTCCCTAAAGTCACAAGTAACCACAGCTTAAAAGGAAAAAGAGAATAAAAACTGGAAGATAAAAAAAAAATCTCTTCGGCTGGTAACGAAGCACACATCTCAAAACATTCTAACTTATGATTTCAGTGTATAAACACAATTCAGACTCAAATGAAACTTTGAAATTGCCTTAAGTACAAAACATGACTTTCATGGAGTAAAATGACCAGTTATTTTCACAACATAAACACAAAAGACAAACCGAGGCTTACATGCCACTGTTAACAGCAACTGAACTGACAAAACTTCCCCACTCCAACACCAGCAGCTGTGCCCTAGTATCGCCCAGTTTCACTTGACTGTCCAGTTCTGCAGCAGCAGCACCAGCCACAGCACCACAGGCAGCCAAGACAGAGCTGGCTCCTCTCATTCAGCATTACCAACAATCCCATTAGCTATGGGCAGCCGACAGCACTCGAGCAGCATCAGTGCTGCTAACGCTGCTTGTCAGGGTGGCTCCAGCAAAGGGAAGAATGACCCAGAGAACTGGTGGAGAGCTCACATTTAATCCAGCAAGTTGTTCTGAGCTGACATTATGCTACAGCTGCACTAGCTTTTTGAAGAGCACGGTCCATTAAAATAGAACTTAGAAAATAATAAGTTTGATCAGTAATCAGAGGCTCCTTTACAATATTCATTGCATCATACCGGTGCAACTGCACGACTCTTAGCAGACTTATTTTACATACATACCAAGAATTCTAGAGCTTTCTGTTTCCGAACAGGATCATTCTGTGGGATTGCAGAATGGGGAAGAAAAATTAAAAGACTGAATTCTACAGTATTTGTTGCATTATCTTGTACAAAACAAGGCCTTTTAATCCTTTATCCAACAATAAAAGTCAACACAAAGAAAAGACAGTAATTTTAGGTCACAGTTATAAACATATAACATTAGGCCCTCAATAGCAACTAGGTCGCAGCTACTACAAATGCAACTGCATTACTTCCAGTACCGAGAACAACACATTTCACATCTAAACTACATACCTACAAGAACTATCTTTCCCAGGCTCTCCTCACTCAGGTTCTACCTCATGGTTAAAAAAAGTGAAGTGCCCACCTGCTTCTAGCATAATACCTGACCAGCCTCAGCCCTAAAAGAGCAAGACATCACCACAGAATAACATCAGACTACAAAATAATCTCTGCCACTATGATAAAAATTAGGCAGTTCTCAGTGTTTGTGCCCAGTGCTATTCAGGACAGATACTTGAGAGATCGCTTTGGGTTTCACCTTCGAGTTAGAAAAAACGATTGTACATCTTTAGATATATTGTAAGATTTAAACCAAATCTTCAGTATAGAATACCTTTGATCTGAAGAGGTGCAAAACAGAGAAGTGGAGACTGCAGCACAGGTTGGGAGACCTGGCCTGCAGACACCGGGTCTGAGACTCTCAGTGACTTTGAATAGGAATTAAGAGAGCTAAGGTGGGTGAACATCCTGATGTACAATATTAATTTCCATTCTACTGTGATGAACACAAAACTCTGGTGATTAGGTCAGTTATTTTGCTTCTCGAATAATGTTAATAAAGTGGCAAATGAAGCCAAAGAACAAAAGTTTTTCAGAAAAATTAAAAGCAAGCAAATACACTTCTACAACATAAGACACTTGCATAATTACTACCTCTACATACCTCATGCTTAAAATCATCTTCCCACCTTAAAAAGAAAGACATGAAAATATTAAAACGCATTCTAAAGATTACTAAGAAGTCAGATTTACGCATAGTAACTAGAAAAAATTCAATTTCCAAATTTACCAACACAGGATTATCTTTTTCTGTAGTGTATCTACAATACTGTATTTCTTAAAGGTCCTTACTCTCAGTGATTCTCAAAGAGATCAGCAGTACTGATGGCCTCCTTTAGGGATCAGCTAGTAGTGGTAGGGTTTTTCTTCCTGTATGAACAGGGGTACTTTTTCTACAACTTACTTGGGCAATAGCATCCCAAAGAAAGTGGCAACACCCTGAAATCTGAATTGCAATTCCTTTGTGTGTGAGTACATCAGATTGCTATTGACCTGCATAACCAGTGCAGCATTTCAAAAGCCATAGCTACTTATAAACTGAATAGCAAATTTTATTTCAGGTTATTTCCTCACAAACAGAAAGGAACAATTTACACAAGAGGAAGAAGTACAGTTGAAAGACAATATAAAATATTTTCCCCATACGTGACGTTTGTTACAGAAAAGATGTACTTCTGCAATAAGTAGAGAGATCTCAAAAAAAAAAAAATCTCTTCTGATTGCCCTTTGGGATTGTATTCTTACCTTGCTTTCTTCTTTGATGGGGCTAGAAAATGAAAAAGAATAATTAGCAACATCATTAGATTTCCACTGTATTAGAGCAATAGAGGCATTATACAAACAGAATAGTTACTGGCCCTAAAGGGGCTGCAGTTTTTTTGAAGGGCAGGAATCTAGGCATATACAGCCATTTTAGAAACCACCAGGCATCCGTGACAAAAGGACTAGAGGAGACTTGTGGCCTAACAGCTTTGCAGGGTACCCTACAAGCATCTATGTTCGGATGGCTGAATTCCACATAAGAAGTCAGTATGGACTGAATTGAGGTAGGCATGCCTCCTCTATGCAAAAAGTGAAGCTTTTTTTTGATTTTTTTTTTCTATGAACTTATCAGTGTATCTCAAAGTTGCACTTATTCTAGGTCAGTCTCCAACAAGAAGTTATGGATATTATAATGCCTAATCACCTGTCTTCCCAGTACAGTGTATAAGCATGAGGAAGGAGAGAAAGCTCAGTAAAACGAGGTGGTCTGTTTAAGACAGTATCTATGCTTCAGAGAATCAGCTAATGCATGGTAAATAACTTATTGCTTCTTCAGTACTTATTAGCACAGGTGCTCCAGGATAAGCAACAAGATAAGCAATAACTCTCAGGATAAATGACATCTTTGAGGCTAAAAGACTCGTGTTTTAACCACCTGATGTTGAACACATGCTGATGAGTTGCAACAACAAGTTGTACTGCAGGTTCCAAAGTTTTCCAAATGTCAGGAGAGAAAAGGACTGCCACCTTTTCACAGAAGACATCCAATGAAGTAAGAATCATGGAAACGTAGGATGGGAGGGGCCTTTGCAGGTAGAATCACAGAATCATAAAAAACTTTAAGTTGGAAGGGACCTCTGCAGGTCATCTAGTCCAGCCTGAGGTAAGAGAAAAGTACCACAGGGGTGGTACAGAAACCAAACAATTAACTGTAAGATGAGGACACTGACAATTGAAATAATTTTCCTTGAATTACTCAATTTGTGCTGTCTTTCCAGTAAGCCTCCAAAATCCTCCCTGTTTGAAAAGAAGATGGGTGGAGACAAGCAGTGCTACTGAGTGGCTGGAAACCTCACTCTACTCAAGCTAACGATTCAAGTTCTGCTCACTTTGACAAAGATTAGCCTGAGGATTAGATCAGGCTGCTTAGGCCCAAGTCCAGTTGAGTTTAAGTCTTCAAGAATGGCAATTTCCCATCTCTTTGGGCAGGCAATTTGAGTGCCTGACCACTCACTGTGCAGAACTTTCTGAACGTTCAATCAGCATTTCCTTTATTGCAGCCCGTGAATGTTGCCACTCGTTCTTTCCCTGCACACCTTCTTGAAGTCTGGCTCCTTCTCTGTAGCAATGTTTTAGGTAGCGGAAGACAGTAATTAGATCCCTTCCTTAGCTACTGCCTTCTCCAAAGTAATCAAACCCAGCTCCCTTAAAGTTGTCCTCCACATCACATGCTCTAGTCTCCTCATGATTTTTTGTAGCTGGTGAGTCCTCTGCTGACTCTTTCCAGTTCACCAAAACTTCTCATGTACACAGGACACAATATTCCAGAAGCAGCTTAATGAGTCCTTAACAGAAGGGAATAGCCAATTCCCTCAACCTGCTGGCTACACTTTTCCTAATGCAGTCCAGTATGCTGTTAGCCTTCATTACCTCACGTGCTATTGCTGATTCATGCTCATACTGTTGTATACCAAAACCTGCAGGTTCATAAGATTTGCTCCCTCGCCTAATAGTATCCAATCTGTATCAAGCAGGGTGTTGCTCCATCCCAGGTGTAAGACTTGGCATGTACCTTTGCTTCAGGAGGTTTCTGACAGCCCATTTCACCACCTTGTTGAGATCCTTCAATCGCAGTCTTTCTCTACCACACACCAGGCATTCCCCCAATTTGACAATGGTGTGTTCTATCCCATTATCCAGGTCACTAAAGAAGATGTTAAACAGTGCTGGTCCCAAGAGAAACCACTGAGGAATGCCACCAGTAACTGGCCAACACACTTAAAATCAGTGACAACTGCTCTTTGTGCCTAACAGTTCAGGCACCTTTTATCCACCCTGTAGACTTACCTTATCTCCTCAGTTTGGCTGTGAGTATAACATGTTGACCTTCCCCCTAGTCCTGACCCGTAAGATCTCAACAACCACCAGCCATGGCTCTATACAGAAAAGGTGCTCTTGCATCCAGCACTTCTACTGTCATCTTCTATGCCACCTTTTATAAGAAGCCCATATCCATCCATTACAGCACTCCAGTCACACAAGCATTCCATCTCTGCAATTCTGATGATCTCATAGCTCTGCAACCACACAGTAACCTCCAGTTCCATCACCTAGTCCAACCTCCCACTTGAAGCAGGACTACTGACAACATAAGATTCTAGTTTTGTATAGCCAGGTCTTGAAAATCTCCACGAATGAAGAGTTCACTACCTATGGATAATCTGTTCTGGTGCTGTACTACCCCCTAGGAAAAAAGTTTTTCCTGAGTTCAGTTTCTCAAGCTGCCATGTGTGGCTGCCATCTCTTGTTACATTGCCTGCAATTACTAACTTCGGCTTTGTCATCTTCGTAGTGGTCTACAGATGCTTGAAGGGTGTTTATAAGATCACCCCTTATCCTGCTCTTTCCCATTCTAAACAAGCCCTGCTCCCGTTAACCCTCATTCTAGGTACATGCTCTTAACCCCTGAGAATCTTCATTAATCCTTTGCTGGATCCTCTCCGATTTCTCCATCTTCCCTTGAACTAAAAGGAACAAAACTAGACACAGTATTCCAAGTTTGATCTTACAAGCATCAAATAATAGCAGTTAAGACTGTTCTTCAATCTGCTGTCTGTGCTCCTCCTGAAGTATCACAATATGAGATTTGTCTTACGTGAAATGAGAGTGTTCTCTTGGCTCATATTCAGCTTGGCATCCACCATAACCATCAAGTCCTTTTTAGCAAGACTGATCAGTCTGTCACTTCCCATACTGTACTGATGCATGGAGTTATCACTTCCCCACTGAAGACACAGCCAAGCTTCTCCAGGTATCTGCTATAACTTCAAGGAAGCAATAATTCAATCTGAAAAGCCTGGTCCAAAACAGCAAAGTAAATCTCTGGACTTACTTCCAGTTTGCTGCTGTATTCTGCAGCAACATTAAAAGGAATTTTCAGAAAGGAAAAAAAAAAATGACACAGGCAGAATTCAGAGACTAAATTAGACCAGAACTTCATGTTATACTACCACACTGTACTTTTACACAGTGTCATAAGGCCTTCAAGCTCAAGTCCCTACTTTGAGTTCTACAAAAGTCAGTACACATTGATGTCAATTGACTCTGAACTGAGAATTACTGAGCTAGATTATCATAGTACACTCGATCTCGCTGTCTAGGTCATTGATGAATGTATTAAACAGTACTCGTCCCAGCATGGACTCCTGAGGGACACCACTTGTCACCGGTCTCCATTTGGACATAGAGCCATTGACCACTACCCTCTGGGTGTGACCATCCAACCAATTTCTTATCCACCAAACAGTCCACCATCAAATCCATCTCTCTCCAATTTAGAGTGAAAGGTGACCATGGGCACCATGTCAAAGGCTTTGCAGAAGTCCAGATAGATGACATCCGTAGCTCTTCTCTTGTCTACTGATGCAGTCAATCCATCGTAGAAAGCCACTAGGTTGGCTAGGCCCTTGCTGAAGCCATGCTGGCTGTCTTGAATCACCTCCCTGGCCTCCATCTGCCTTAGCATAGCTTCTAGGAGGACCTGTTTCATGATCTTCCCAGGCACAGAGGTGAGGCTGACAGGTCGGTAGTTCCCAGGGTCCTCCTTTCAACCCTTTTTAAAGATGGGCAAAGTGTTTCCCTTCTTCCAGTCTCCAGGGACTTCACCTGACTTTTCAAATATTATGGAGAGTGGCTTGGCAACTCCATCAGCCAGATTCCTGGCTCACATTCCCTCTTCTTCACAAGAGAGACAAATGGAGCTCAAGAAGGGTTTCTGTCACCTTATTTTTCCGATCAACCTTAAAAGGTACAATCCACAGAAGCCACCAATGATCAATCCAAAAAAAGCACTGCTGTGGTAGGCACCTACAGCAGGATTCACACTGACAAACTGTTGATCTATGCAACCCTCACCCCTTTCAAACAAACCTACCTTCCCACTGATACTAGTACTAGGTAGCAAGTAGGTATTTATTCAGGTTGGCATCATTAAGCATAAATAGCACATCTACAGTAATAAAGGACATAATTCAAACATACGGTATGAGGGAAGATGTTGGGTTTATGTTTGAGGGTTTGGCTTCCAATGGACTGTAACTTCCACTTTTACCAGCAATTCAGCATGTATGTCTTTTGATGACTGAAATGAGGTGGAGAAGGCTGTATCAGCTTATTTAGAGAAACCATCGAGTACCATTTTTCCATACTTTTCCACTTTCCTTGATTAGCAAATTACTGTAGTTATCTTAAATACTTCCAGAACCAAGCAGTTAAAAAAAGCCTAAGAAAAACTGCAAGTCTGGCAATTCCCTTTTCCCTTCATTTCAAATTCACAAAAACTGCAAAACGTCTGAAAATATTTTGTGCTATTACAAGTCAAATGTTTCATATCAGTCAAACTCTTTGAGTCAACCACTAATTCAAATTGGGCCAAATATCAGTTACATCAAATCTATTATATTCAAGTAATTCACAGACTTACGTGAGGTACTTGGTCTTATGTAACCTTCAATCTAGAAATAGAAATAGTTTCATATTAGATTTTCTGATTAAAATTTCGTAACAGTCTCTACTGCAACTGCCTTTAGAAATGGAACAAGTACTTTTATTTATCCCAGCATAGTGTAGCCCATAATTTCACAGATATATAATCTTGTAAATATAAATGAAGCTTGAGAAAAAATTTACTTATGAGAAAATTTAAGTTGCAAAAATTAAAAGTCATTGAAGTAAAGCAATAAGATTTCCGAACCACTGAATTCAGACTGGACATTTTCCATCTAAAAACCCTAACTTCTTAAAATTAAACAACTTCGTTTTTTTCAGTTGAATCTCAAGACTACTATTCTTTTCCCCAGGTTTTTTAGGGCAACTTTAAGTTAAGTCTTAGTTCAATTTAGTACTACGCTTCCCAGAAACACACAGAAATTTAACAAGCTTCATCATCAGTACTTTTCAAATTTAATAGGTCAAACATAAATGCACTGATAAAAGACACATTACCAGATACTTTACATTTACTTCCAATTACCTTATACATTTTTAATCCTTCAGTCTTCTCTAGCTCTCCTGCTATCCGTCTGAGAAATGAGACTTTGCATTCTTTTACATCTGTTGTCTTCCTCTTCATTTTATCTGGAAATTCTTTAGACTGTTGACAAAAACAGCTTGAAATGATCAATACCAAAATTCATCACAATATTAAAAAATTGGCACATTTCACCTTTTGGACAAGCTTCCAAGACTGGTAAACATAATTTTGAACATTATGAGCTAGTTTCTTCTTTGTAACACAACTAATTAAACTTTAACATTGAAGTTGCTAGAGTAGTCTTCAAAACAAAAAATACATGTTATGCAAAGATTGCTACCAAAAGGTTACATGCTCTGTACTATATCCAACAACACTATGGGTGTACTGAGGAATAAGAAAGAACCACAGCGTTCTAGGAACCTGATCCTGGAGGCAATCAAAACACTTAGGAACAGACTTCGTGCAGATACAGACAAGCACCTCTGGATCGCACTTCCTCAATAGCTCACAGCTTCATAGCTACTGATGTTGATCTGACCCATGAAGAATCAACCATACAAGTATTAGTGATTTATCATAGGGGGGGTTAAACTTCAAACTTGATGTAAGTATTTCTAGAAAAAAAAAGGGGAGTTATCATAAAGAAACTGTGATCAAAACGCATCAAGATTACTCACAATGTATGCTCTTCTGTGTTTATATCCACTAAGATGTTCTATCATAGGTGCCATCTCTGTATTAAACCCACAAAGCCTGCACTCATAATGTGGCTCTTTTCTTCCTTCAAATCTGATTTCAACCACATGTTCCAAACCTGTAAAAGCAAGAGTTACAAATATCTATATTTTAGTATAGACTACTATAAACACATGTATTCTCTTGCATGTTGCTCATTGAAAGCCAAAATGAAGAAATACAAGTATTCCATTTTCAGAATTTCAACACTTCTTCAGGATCACTTCAACACTTCTTTGGACTTATTATCCACATCAGCTAAATTTATCTCTTTACAAAGCTTTATTCTGAAAGGAAAAGCAATGTCTATGGCAGATTTGCAAGCCCACCAAAATAAAATATTTCATGTACCTTTTTTCCTGCCTGGGATATTTTTAAGAAACTAAGAAAGAGCCTTCCATTCAATACAGTCATCTAAGAGAATGAGAAGTGCATATAAAAAAACAGAGAATGAGAACAGGAAATGCCACACAAAGGTCTAGATTAAAAAACTGCATTTAAACTACTTAGTCAAACCTAATTTGGGCAGTGTCCACGTAGCACAAAGCACACATAGGAAAGAAAATAATCACTTCACAAAATTGAGTCTTTCATAATCTAAAAGTCTTCCATAGGATTTTTCTTCTTTTTTCCTAGAAATGACTGAAAGACTATGCCTTAGAAGTATTCAGAAATCTGTAAATTTGAGGCTTGAGCATAAAAAATTTTACTCTGAACAGCTTAAATGTAACAAGTTTATAAGCAGCTTAAAATAAAAAGGGAAAAAAAACCCCTGCAGCTGTTCCCTATTATCATAATTTCCAGTACTGTGTATTTGTGATGGGTTGACCCCAGCCAGCAGCCAAGCACCACACAGCTGCTTGCTCACTCACATACACACCCTTCAGC